CTCCCCAAACTTATGGGAACATCCCAGCCTCCAGAGCAATCAGACCCCCTAAACTTATAGAAGGGTCTAACGCTCCATGCATACCCAAATAAACAAAGCACTGGTTCTCCCCAAACTTATGGGGACTTCCCAGCCTTAATGACCCAGTCAATCTTCAAGCAAAACAACCCTCCATCCTGCCTTTCCCTAGATGCAGTTCTTTTTAGCAATCTGAATTCACACAATCAAATAAAGTTTAAACTGAAACTTAACAATCATTCTTTTACTTAGTCTGGTTCAGTCTCCTGAAAGTCAAACCAAAAATAGAGTAGGGCTGCATATCATATATTCAGTCAGCGATGCAATGGGTGATACAGGTAGGGGCTATAGTCTGGGTTTATAGAGGGGACAACCATTGTTACCTGTCAGTTCCCTGCCTCCAGAACTCCTCCTGAGTCCCGGCAGAGCTCCCACAATCGCTGGGCTGGTTCCCCACAGAGTCTTGATGCGGTCCTACGGGTTGCAATCCCGCCTGCCGCCTTCCTCTCAGCACCAAGAGACTAGACTTAGAGTCAGAAGGGCAGAAGGAGAAGGATTTTTAGAGTCTCAGATCCAAAAGAGTGCTCTCAGACTCGCAGGAGAGGGCCTTGATACCTTCAGTGCCTGAGGGCCCCGCAATGGCGACTAAGTAGCAGCCTGTCAGCACGGACGTGCAGCTCCCAAGCTAAACTGTTGGAACTAACCCGCCTGACGGAGTCCCAGATTACCGCGGTAAACCTGTTTACCACCACTCCTGTCTCTTATACACATCTAGATGTGTATAAGAGACAGGTGCCTGAGGGCCCCGCAATGGCGACTAAGTAGCAGCCTGTCAGCACGGACGTGCAGCTCCCAAGCTAAACTGTTGGAACTAACCCGCCTGACGGAGTCCCAGATTACCGCGGTAAACCTGTTTACCACCACTCTGCCCCACCTGCAGCAGCAGCCTTCCCCCGGGTTTTAATCAGTTACTTAGCGCTCGACAACCGTACTCCAACAGCGCACACCCAGCGCACACCCGAGTGCACCATTTCGAAGTATACAGTCATTCAATAAATTCTGCCGCGAAGTGTAGTGGATACGCAGCGAACGCAGCAACGTAGCAACACACAGCAGTTAACACACTCGTACCAACACCGGCCCAACAGTTTGCAGTAAGTTCCACAACTATTGCAACAGAAACGCAGCCAGGGTCTGAGTAGAATTGTTACCAAACTGCCGTTCAACAGCCTCTTCATCAGCAGCCCCTGACTTACAGGTAATCCCTCAACTTCGCGGTGGAGTCCTCACCCCCTCAATCTGTGTGTAAACAACTCTCCAGCCGCTGGCAGGTCTCATGTCTAGCCACTCGCTCGCCGTTCCAGGCTTTTGAATAAGCAGAACTTCAAAATGAGCCCCACTGCTGGAATGTAGCCAAATACTCTCTCTCCCTCAACACGCTCAGCCCCCTCCTGGCTGCAGCGATATTCCTCCCTGCAGCCCACTCACTCCCTCACGCCTTTTCCCAATCAGCAGTCGAACACACCCCAAGTGTCCGGCGTAGTGAGCCTGTGCACAAACAACAGCCGCCCCTACAGTAGCGCGGTCTGAGGTCTGGTTTTTCTAGTCAGATCTACCCCAACTGTGGACAGAAACAAAACTGTCAGCTCAGCACAGCCGGCTCCACGGAGCTTCTACTACCCCACTTGTGGAATGCATACAGGTGGGCATCCCGACTACATTCATCTGCCCGACGAGCACCTTGAAGGGCGTGGGATGGAATCCTGTTGCAGGTGGAGCCATATGAGCGAGAAACAACAGACTTCGGTTGCATGCGCGGTGCTTTACCACACGACAGTAGAAAATAGAATCCGAACGTGACGATTAATTCATTCGTGAGCAGGTAACACACTGTAGCAAGATGAATCTTCCGTTAGGACGTGGGCGGATACACTGCTTTCAACCGAGACATGAGCGCAGGGAGATAGAGAGGCGTTTCTTCCATCGACAGGTTGGGCTACGCATCGGTCCTCAGGTAAGTCTCCAGCCCCTGCTGCTTGCCTTAGGCAACTCTCACAGCTCGAAAGAATTTACCCCTACAATACGAACATATACACTACTAATACGTGATCGTTTGTATGTGTGTGTGAGAAAGAGAGAGAGTTTTCCATCAATAGGATGAGCCACACACCGACCAACAAGAGCGTCCCCTACCTCGCGGCAATCCTCTCGATGCTCCCCCCTCCTCTAATTGGATAAGCAAAATCGAATGAATCTTCCGTCTAGGTGCAGAAAGATACATGCCTTCAAGCTCGTCCTTCTTGCGCGCAGCCCCGCATTCTACTCTGCCAGAACGAGCCATTAATTCTCAAATCCGACCCCGCCATCAACTGTGCATCGGCTCAAAACCCCATCCTCGAGTCTTTCCCCACTATATTCCTTCGAGAATCGAGTAGTATTCTCGAGGTTTCTTCTCCTTCTACCTCTACTCCTTCATAGCTTGGCGCACGATATTCTCTCTCTAACTCTCTTCTCACTTATCCTACGCCCAAACTAACACCACCATCTGCCTCGCCCGGGGAAACCCCCCCCGAAACAAGTCTCTATTCGCCCGATTTGGTGGAGAAACGAGTGAGTTACGAAGTACTTCCTGCGCCATCCCCGTCACGCTGCTCTGCCATCACCCCCTCCTTCCGAGTGCACCATGGCGCGGAACTCGGCCAGGTTCACTCTCGGTTTCCCATCACCCCGCTCCCCGGGCTTTGCACTCCGCCTGTTCACACCGCCGAGAGTCTAGTGCCCCGTTGCTCCATCGCTTACCGTGCCATCGCCCTCTGACTGCTCATCACTCCACTCACCTAGCCCGCACCGTTGCCGACCACCCCACACATTACGACGGACTAACGCACCGCGATTGTGACACACGACATATTCGGATCACAAGGAGCCGAGCTACCGACAAAAAAAAAGAGCGGGGGCACTACCCCCCGATTTATACGTATCAACCGTGCGCAGAGGCTGTGCTAATCTTCTCTGCATCGTCCCAATTCCAACAGATGTCCCGAAGGACTCATACGGGGCGATGCATCGCAACTCCCCCACTCGGCCTCGGCCTTTCGCCCAATCCACCTGCGAGCACCTGGGCTGATTCGTCGCCCAGGTTCAATTTCTCCTCCCCCTTTCGGCACAGCTCAGCCTCCGAACGGCAGCAGACCTCGCAGCAGTCGCCTCCACCTAACAACTCTGACCACCCTGAGGGAACTTAGGAAAGAAACCGCTGCCTGACCCGCCCGATAAGCCTACCACCCCCGTTCATGCCCCCTACCCTGGCACCAGCCCCGACCGTGAATCTTTGCTACCGCTGTCGGAGCAAACACCCTTACAAGGGTATTTGCTCATGATTTTGCATATGATACAATATCAACGCCGGTTGCCGTGCCGGAGACAGGCTGGAGTAAAAAGTGAGAATTTTTTTGGCTTGGCGCTGTGAAGCAAACTTCTCGACCATTGAGGCCGGTATTTTTTTGTTGCGATCATGTGCAGTGATAGGACGCGTACGATAACTGGTAAGGATTAATAAAAATTAAAAGTCTTTGGCCGCAAGGGCCGGAGGGTTGGCAGATAACGAGAGAAGGTCGCGCGGGATGCGGCGACCACGATCTAAATCTGTCAAAGGCTCAAGCGGTAAGGCAAGATCGAATTAGAATGAGTTCAGAAGCGTCAGACCGACCAGTACGCGAAGATCTGTTCGTCGCGCCGCCGTAAGCTCAAAAGCAGATTGAAATAATAATATAAGCCCCGGCCGCGCGGCCAGGGCAGCCAATAGAAATGAGCCACCACCACACCAAGTGGCGACGACCGGTGTGGGCCTCTAAAAATGCCAACTGCTGTCTTCATTCGCGCGATCTAAAGTGCCGCGCACATCGACCTGTACTGGTGTGATACCGGCATACCCGCTACTTGAGTGTTTTTCGCTGCTCTGAAGTGTCGCGGGCCTCTTTCCCCGCCACTTGAATGTTTTCCCTGCCGCAACCCTCAATGTCACAGCCAGAGGTAAGTACGGCTCTTCGGGCGTACCGGTGAATCAAGTACCCTTGCGGGTCACACACACAGTAATGCCGACGAGCACTCAGACAGATATGCAGGCCAGCGGGTGTACACACGTACACACTTACAAACAGGCTCAGGCCACTAGTTGGGTTGAGCCTGTACTCTATACATAGCAAAGTTGCTCCCTATCTTCTCGATATGGGAGCTAGCTCAGTAGGTTAGAGGGGTAGACTGATAAGGTAAGGATACAGGGATCGAGTCTGCCTGAACTCTGAGCTAGCTCCTTTTGACAAGAAACTCCGCTACAATTTCACCTTGTCCCGGTGAGGCCGGGGCTCGAACTCGTGACCTCAGATTAGAAGGCAGTTACAGTTAGTTAGCCCTTTGAAAAACGAGGGCATTACACTTGGCAGGTAAATGGTAGTTAGTAGTTAGATAATTTTCCTTTTTCTTTTAATTTTATTTCGTTAGATTTCATGTTTTCTTTCTTTCTTATTATTTTTTATTTTTCAATTTCTTCGGTCCGGTATTTATTTTCAGTAGATTCAGTTGAATGAATCTGCCTCTAAAACCAAGGCAGATTCCATTTTATCGGACTAAGGAAAGAAAAATGAAAAATCCCGCCCTGATCTCGATCGCGTACAGCGTGAAGGAGGTTGCTCATGCGGAGGAGCAAACCACGATGTGCAAACGACTTGAATGCCACGACATGGAGATAGAGTTATGCAAAGTTGAGAACCGAGCGCGAAAGGGGAAAACGGGCTCGCGCGGAAGAAGGAGATGCACGAAGAAAGAGTAGAGGAGAAAAAAGAGGAAGAAGAAGAGAAAGAAGAAGGAGGAGAAGGAGAGGAGGTGACTTACCGGGCATTGCAGTCGACGACGACGGTGTTCCAAGCATGGGCGAAAAGGAACGTACGGGGGAGTCGTATGCACAGACGTTGAGTAAGCGGCTGCGCTATGAGAGGAAGCGGGCGCAGGAAGTGGGCGCAGGAAGGGAGCGCTCGCGAGCGAAGAGGAAGGCACGAGCACTAAAGGAAGGGGTACGGGTGCAAGGAGAGAAAGAAGCGCATGATGATAACGGGCGAAGGGTGGAACGCACGAGGGAAGAAAGGTGGTCGCGTGGAAAAAGACGAAGAAGAAGAAGAAGAAGAAGAAGAAGAAGAAGAAGAAGAAGAGGAAGGAAAAGAAGAAGAAGAAGAAGAAGAAGAAGAAGAAGAAGAAGAAGAAGAAGAGGAGGAGACGACATACCTGACCGTGCGATTGGCAGTAGCACTGAAGAGAGGCGGTGTGAGTAGCTACGCCCTTACATCAGCCTCTTGCCATATCCGACAGTGGAGACTTGCCAGATGCGCAAAGCCGCCACCGATTGATGTGGCGAGCTTGGGGTTGTCGTCCACCCGATTGAAGGAATGTGCGCTTGTGCCTGTCGTCATCCCGACGGATTGTGACCTCGGTATGCTACATTTCGTGACGGATCGCGTTCGGTTGTAGGACCATGACGACGGTGGCGATGACGAGGGAGTGATAGAGAGAGAACAGGTAAGTGTCTGATCCCACGGCTCACTCCCCAACGCTATCAGCGACAAAACGAGCAAGAAAAATAAACAAATAAATAACTAAATAAATAAGCAAATGAATAAAATAAAGTGAATGAATCTAACGCTAGAACGAGGAAAGATGCATTCACTACTACATGTATGTGTGCGTGTGTGTGTGTGTGTGTGTGTGTATGTGTGTGTGTGTGTGTGAGAGAGAGAGAGTTGCTCTCTGAAGTTCACCAGACATGTTTCAACTAACGGCTGCATCGGGCGGATATGAGCTGACACGTGTTCGTCGTCCTACGTGGCATACCCAGTAGCCAATGCAAGAGAGAGAGAGAGAGAGAGAGAGAGAGAGAGAGAGAGAGAGAGAGAGAGAGAGAGAATGAGAAAGCTCTTACCTGGCTGCATGCGCGCTACACCGATGAATCCAGCGAGTTGATTGCCTGGGTCGAAAGGCCCGGGTAGCCTTCCTAAGGTTCATCGTGTCAGGGATGGATTGTTGTAATTATCGATCCTGAACAAGGAATGCCCAATAAGTGCGAGCCGATCGGCTCGCGCTGATTACGTCCCTGCCCCTTATACGCACTGACCATCGCTCCTACCGATTGAATGGTCCAGTGAAGTGTCTGGATTGCGGTGATCTAGGCGGTCTGCCGATGGAGAGATGCACATGACATCTGTGAGTGGGGAACGAGGTCGTGAGTGTAGCGCGATACATACCTGGTGCTGGAAGCGTGCGACATTGGTCGCCATATGATCGTACTTCGAGAATGCTGTTGATGTCATCTTTTCGGCTTCAGGCTAGATAGGATCTGCCACTTGTAATTTGGGCGCCGAACGCCAGATAGGAGATGAACATTGGGTCTTCGTTAATGATGATGACGAGACTATTCCAGCATTATCAGTTATGAACTCTTTGTGTGTTTTTATTTGGTGAATCTCGAGATGCCATTCTGATGTTAGATCAAGGTCACGACTATCTGGCCTTATGTGTATGATGCTGTTTGATTTCTGAAGTTCGTTGTTGCGCAGTTTCCTTGCATTTTGGATTATTTAAATTTGTTATTTCTTTTATTATTATCATTGATTGGCTGGTATTATCGTTATTATTATTATTATTATTATTATTATTATCATTTGCTATATTCTACCTCCTTTCCACTATTCCGGTCAGATGGAGGCATTGAAATTCGTGCCTTCCGCAATATCGCAATACAAAAGGGACATCTAAAGTTGGAGAAAGGCGGTCCGGGAGAAAGTGATCAAAGGGAGAGAGAAAAATAGCAAAATAAGAGAGAGAGAGAGAGAGGACAGACAGATAGTCAGACAGTCAGACGGGCCGAATCAGGCAAATTAAGGTAGGGAGAGAGAGAGATCGGGGTGCGGGACCGCCGCGCGTGACACCGCGCACGGGCTCCCAGGAGATCTGGCTTGCACAACCTTCTGGTAGTCCAATCAGCGCAGCGCGCGGTCCCACAGCCGCGCGAGTCCGTCATTCTTAAGCAAAGTCTAGGGGCACATGTGGTGTGACTTCGGCCAGATGCCCTTGATGCCCAGTTAACGCAGGTACCCCCCTCCCACGTCCCTGCGGATGTCACGAAGGACACAGCCGGGGCCGCGGAAACGACCGGCCCCATGCAATTCAAATTATTTGGTTTTTACTCATCAAGTTCCCCCATCTGACTCCGAACTCGGCTCTGTATTTCACCAATTCAATAGTGTGCCCCTGCGGTGTTTTCGCGCCCTCATACGGGCGTGGTAATAATAATAACTTAGGAAAATTAAAACTAATATTTATATATATATATATATAGGGACGAGCGGTAGTCGGGTAGGGACCACGGCACCCCATCTCAGCCTGACCGCCAGCCCCACGCTCGGCCCCCCGACAACAAAAGGCGAGGGGTATAGTCCGACAGGCCCATCAACCCCTCAAGCCTTTTTGCCACGCTCCTCCTCTCCCTTGTCGCATACTGTTGGCCTCGATCCCTGCGTCTGCTGCGTACCAGTCTAGTGCTGTAACCTATAGGAATAAGCCCAAGCCTGGTACTAGCAGGCCTGACTCACCTTATAAAGAGGTAGCGCACGACCCTTGGGGTCAAGGAAAACGCCCTATGCCACTTTCCGGCCCACACTTGCACAGAGGACCACCCAGAACTCACGTCGGCCTACCGGCCTCGCCGTGGCTACCCGTCCTTAGCCAAATCCATCAGGTCCCATCATTTGGATTTCCGCGTAAGTCCATATAGACTCATTGAACCGTTCACCGTACCACGTGGGACTAGAGAAAAGTGCTTATGATTTAATCAGTTTAATGAAAACAAAAATGACATGTTATGATAGAGCACGTCGACGAACAACCACGCCGTGCCTTCTATTGCGATCAAAAGGGAGAAGAATCACACGCGCCTTTATACTGCGTGCCCACACACTCTCTACTTCCTAGGTGTTACCGTCGAACCTTTAATCCGCGGACCCCTGCGACTCGCGGGGTCCTCCCAATAATTATGAATCGACCCATTTTCTCTGTCAACTGCAAAAACCCAGTGCGAGTACCTTTGTAAGGGTATCCGCACCGACAGCTTACAGGACCACAATAAGCGACATCCCCGTCGCTTACCAGACCATATCAAGCAACTCCCCCGTCGCTTTGCAGGATCGAAAAACTATCAGATTACCCAAAATGCTGACGAAAATAGGAACCAATCCGATTAGCCGACAGACCCGAGGTGGAGGCTTCCATCAAAACATGCCTCTGCAACTATATGCTGCCAGGGTTCCAATCCGGGTCCTCATCGCCGCTGTTAATAGGATACTGACAGCATAAGTTTCAAAGGCCTTCCCAATTATCCTCTCACCCTGGCCCTAGATACCCTTCGGCTTCTCGTTAGGTGTCCCTAGTCCTGGCTAAAACTAGGGACGCGGGCCCTAACCGAGACCTTTGAAGGCACCCTAGCCTTCCTTCCCAAAAAGCTCTTCACAATCAAACACACATATGTATATATACATAATCTCCACTCGGCTCTTTCTGCAGTCTAGTACAGAAAGGTCAGGTCTCCATCTTGGCCCACCATAGCCTGGTTGATCAGACCGGGATTACGACCCACCGCGTTGTTATCTAGCTGCAGTACCCTCGCTGCAACGATGAGCTTTCCCCTGATTACCATCCAATCAGGGCTTCCAAAAAAAAAGACTCGACTCTTACCCCGCGAAGCAATTTCCCTGGGGCGGGCAACTCCCCGTAAACTCTTACTTCGCGGTCCCGCAGCCAGGTTGCGCCGACTAGCAGCCACCCACTGAGGTTGCGTCCTAGTGGCTCTAAGCGTCTTTTTCGCTAGCTTGGTCTTCCTTCAATATGTCTCAGAACTAGCACAAGTGGTTAAACAAGACGTCTCAAAACAAAAATAACGAGCCTACTGCGAGGTTACACAGGGACTTGAAGGTTTTTACCAGTTCTCCCTCAAAAGGTATAGCATCCTTCGCACAATCACAAACATAATCATCACTAAATCCACAAGGCCGTGACCCCTGACTTAACCAGTGCCAGCAACCACTCATCCTGAGACATCTCTCACCCTGTATCCATTACAACCTTCTCAAACACTTCAAACAAATGTGACCCTTTTCGTCAGACTTTATCACTCATTAGATAACTCTCCATGCCATTAATCAGTCCACCCACCTTTAGGGGTGAGTCTTCCAACAGCCCAAAACCACCCCCTTCTTCCAAAAATCCAAGGGGATCTCATCACAAAGCAAAACACCCCCTCTCCCATAAATCACGAGGGGTCATCGTAAAGCCAAAATCCCCCTTTTTTCAAAAATCTAAGGGGGTCTCATTATAGAACAACCATCACTGAGAGACCATCTTATGGGTCCTCGTCACAGCTTAAGCAATCAACATCCAGCATGATAAAGCATTCGGGTCTCAAAGATCCACAAATCCCTTAGGATTCTTACGATCATTCACAAACAGACTGCACTCCCTCTCCTTATACTCTGCCCTATTACATGCCCGTGAGAAGGTCGCACGAGTATACTTAAGAGTAGACAGTTTTACATAGCTCACATCCATTAACATGAGATGCACCCTGAACATCTCTCACACAAAACCATCATCCATCAGAGTAAGAACCACATATGTGAGTGTGAGAGTGATCGTCATATACAAAGAATAGTTTTCAGGAGAAAGTCTCGATTTAATATACACTTAGGGATAAAAAATGCCCCACGGACAAATGTTTCCAAACCATAGCTCACTCATCTCAAACAAATTCAACTCACACTAGTACTACCCTCAAAATATAAGTTGGGTTTGTCTCTCAAAGGTCAGGGTGTAGGCCACCTAGATATGTACACGCCCCATCTATCATGTCCTGACCCTCAAGATGACAAACTCAGTAGAAATCCAAATCCAAACCACCTATCAGATGCAGGTGAACATCTAAGCCTAAAGGATATCATCTAATCCTAAGTTCATGCCCTATATACAATAACCAATCATATAGGCAAACCAGTCCTACTCACTCATCTCCTCCTGGTTTTACCTATACAGTTGAGCTCTACCCCCATCTGCCGATCTCTCCACTCTCTTGCCCTGTCTATCATACATCCTGCCACCCTCCTCTGTAACTTTCCCATCAGCCTTGTCCTTTAGGAATTTAGGACATTGCAAGGCTCGATGACCCTCTTTTGTACAGAAGAAGCAGGATGTATCAAACCATTTCCTTGATCTCTTCTTCTCCCTTTGAGATCCTGGCGACGGTGCTTCGCTGGCCTCCCTGCTCAGCTCATGACTCTGAGGCATGTCCAAAGGCTGTTCACCTGTCTCCCTCTCCTGGGTACTCGGCCCTGGTCGATCCTCAATCCCCTCTGGCCCATACTCAGGTGTGTCCAATCTCTGCGGCCTGCCCTCGATGACACCCTCTGTCCCAATCCCCATCTCTCTCTCAAGAGGCTCCTCTATCCTCTGCTCACGTGAAAACAAACTCGCCTCCTCCTGCATAGTATGCACTGCTTCAAGGAGCACGTCCATGGACCCCTCTGATGAGCCCTGAGCTGGCTCACTGCTGGATGGCGGTAGCCCCTCCTCAACTGCCAATGGCATGACTGGGCCCGCCGCTACTATAGGTAGTGTCGCGAGTTCAGTAGGGGCTCTGAACTCGAAGGCCTCTCTCTCTGCCTCCCTCTGGGCTCTCGCCTCCTCTGGCTCCAGGATAACTCTCCCCATAGGTGGCTCCTGGCGAGGCTCTGCTGCAGATGGCTGCCCAGGCAACCCCTGTCCCGGCTGCCTCTGCTGTCCATACCGGCTGCTTTCTGGCTTGTCTACTCTTCCCTGACCTGCCTCAGGAGCTCCTGGATTTCCACCTCCATAGCCTCCAGGCGTACTCCATGACCTTCTTCCTTTGTCTTCTTCCCCGCCAGATCGCTCTTCAATAACAAGTGTCGGTCAAAAGTTGTCTTGGCCAGGAACTTGATTTTGCGATCCAACCTTTCTTCCGCCTTCCTTGTTACCCCAAACCCGGCTCTGGTTGGCGAAGGAAGCTCCTCTCCTCTTTGTTCCCAGAAGTCTCTCCACATCTCTGGGATTTGCGGGGCCTTAGCTGGCTCGCTGGGTGGCTGACCTGGGAGTGCCCCTGCTGCCCTGCTGCTGCTCCGGAAGTGCCCCGCTGCCCCCAATCTCTGCCTCTCTTGCCATATCTCTTTTATTCTCCTGCTTCTTTTCGCCCTCTTTTCCTCTGCTGTCTGGCCAGCTGGTGCCCTCTCCCTCGTGCGATGGTTGACCCTCTTCGGGATCTCTGCCTCCACCTCTCTCTCAGGCTGGCACGGCTCCTGGCGAGGCTCTGCAGGTGCTGGCTCCTCCAGGTCCGGGTGCTCCAGGGCATGAGATGCTAGGTGTCTGTCAATCAGAGCCAAGGATTCTCTCCTTACAACAACAATCTCTCTCCTTCTTTCTGCTCCCCTCTCTGGCGAAGGAGCCTGTTCTGATGAGGGCAATGGGGCCTCCTCTCTCTGCAACCCCTCTTCTGCCTGGCGAGTGCTCCCTGGTGCATCCCCGAGTCTCAAACCCACCGCTGGCGTCTGAGGGGGCGTGTCCTCTCCAACCTTTATCACTTCCTTCCCTGCACGTCTCCCCTCATCGCCCAACCCTCTCTCTCGCTGAGTATCTCGGACCTCCTCTCGTGGTATCTCCTCTCGTGGCACCTCCTCTGCCTGTCTCCCACGCTCCTCGCCTCGAGGCGACGTTCCCCATCGAGAGACGTCGAGATGCGCCTCCAACTCCCTCAGCGACCCCAGAGATGCTGGCGCCTCCTCCTGTGTGCGCACTGGCGACCTCCTCAATCCACCCTCGGTGAAATGACGGAACTCCACCGGTCCCAGCCCACACTCAGGATACGTCCTTCGCTCCTCATCCTCAGGCTCCGACTCCTCTTCTCTCCTGGCTAGGGTCTTTCTTCCGCCTCGAGATGGCCTTGCCTCACTGGGCTAAGGGTCCCTATGCCTCCTGCTCCTTTGGCGCCTCTCAACTCGGGGCCGAGGCGACTCTGGCCGTCGGAAGGTCTCCCTCAAGTGTGCCCTGCAGCTCTCCTAATCCCGGGCCATATCTCTGATCTGCCTAGCCGGAGGCCTCTCCGCCTTTCTGGTCCAGAGGCGTAGCGTCCTCGCCTAGTCATCTCTCGGCGTACCCTGCCCCTGCATAAACCACTCGAAGGCGGGGATAAAATCTGCTGCATTTCCGATCTCTAGGCGAATCGGCCTTCCGTCTGGTCCCACAGGGGAGGGTCGTAGCTCCTGCATCCTCACCTCCACCTCCAGCCTCGTCGTCGCCTCCCTACGGATCCTGGCAATGGCTCCTCGAACCTGCCGGCTCCCCTCAATCTCTCAATCGCCTGGGCCACGGTCCAGCCTATACGCCTCGCATGCTCCCAGAAACTGTCTAGGAATAGCTCTATGTCCCCATTATCGTACATCGGAGTACCCTCTCGATGGCTAGGCCCATGCTGCTCATATTCTCCTGATGTCCCCAATGGCCTTCGTGGCGGCCGTGGCCCCTTCCCTCCTCTTGGCATGGCTGTCTTCGTAAAGTCAGACCTGCACAACAGGCGAAGGAGACAACAAGCACACATTGGGGTAAGCAAACAGGTGATAATCAAAGCAAGCTCAAACCAGACCATATTCATGCAGCATGCAACCTATCTGACCTACACATCCTCTCGCTTCTACTCTAAGGGAAATCAGATCATCTCTCTCACGTCTTCTCTCGCCACAAATTTCTTCAGCCGCGTTCCAGATACCCAGTCCTTCCATTCAGCCCCATTCAACTCTTTAATATTCTACGCTCCAAAAACTCCACACCGCACAATCCGGTGAGGACCTAACCACCTCTTGTCGAGCTTCCTGGACCATTGCCTCTCCAGTGATGAATCGTACAGGAGAACGGCATCCCCAACTGCCAAGGGTACTTTCCTCACTCGCGCTGACTGATCGCAGCGAGCCTTATCATCCATGCGGCTCCTCTCCACTTGATTGGACGCCTCCTGGATTCTTTCCTTTGTCGCCCCCACCTAACGCACCCGAATATCGAGTAACTCTTTAAAAGACAAGTTGACTTCTAGATCCTGTCGCCTCCAGGTCTTTAGAAAACTCTCAATTGGGAAGGTGGCGTGCCTTCCATACCACAACGTCGTCGGTGCGTACTTGGTGGATCTCTTCACTGTAATGTTCTCGACAAAGAATGTCGCCCTTAGATTCCTCGGCCATTGATTAGGCCTACCTTCGGTCCACTTAGCCAGGAGGTTCGTAATGGTACTATGTCCTCGCTCTACCGGAGCATTTGCCTGGGGGTGCGCGGCAGTTGTGTAGTTGGCCACTACACCATACCTTGATAGCAGCTCTTGCACCTCCTGGGAGGTAAGCTCCAATCCCCTATCCATTACGAACTCCCTGACGAAAGGATAACGCAGGTAGTACTCCTCGATGCAGCTAACCAAAACTGGCCCAGTCTTTGTACGAATGACCCGTCCGTGTACGAAGCCAGACAGGTTATCGCGCGCATCGAAGATATAGTTATAGCCTTGATCCCCAAGCGGCATGAAAAACAGATCGAGATGCACTACACCCCCCACCTCTCGTTTTAACCTTGGATGTAACGACTCTCCTTGCCTTAAACGGAATCTCTCTTGGTAGGGCACGCAAGACCGACAAAACTTTCCAATCATGTCCATCATTCCATCCCAATAGTACAACTCACTTATTTTGGCGTATGTGGTTTGTACCCCTCGATGCCCTCTTGCAATGCCATCATGAAGTGCTGCCATGACGTCAATCTGACCAATTTGAAGATTCCTACCGCAGACGACTCTCCTAGGATTCCCCACTTCTCTCCTTACGAAAAGATGGCAATCTCGCACCAAGTAGGGTTGCATCATCCTCTGAGCCCTATCGCTCGCATTTCTCAACCGCATTTCGCATGACAAAGGAGTCCCAACTCCAGGTAGATTCCTTCATACTCCTCTGCACGAAAGGCCTCTTTGATCTCACCCTCTTCAAAATCGTCATCCTGGCTCTCGGGCACCTCGTCCTCATTTCTCGTCGGATTCAACGAGCCTGCTTGATCGAGGCTTTCCTGCAGAAGTGTGTTGACGAGGAGATACATTCCCCCCATCAGTTCCTCATGCCTTTCCACGTGGCCTGGCCCTTTCTGTATTACCCTCATATCTCCCACTAGGCTATGCGATCCAGCCAATTCCAGCTTCATCATCCACTGAACATCTTTACCACCCTAGGGATCCTCTTCCTCAAAACGCTTAAGGAATAGTTCCGCCTTCTACTCATATCCACTCGGCGCTTTCCAAATAGGATGGCCCACACAACCGGGCACTCGCGGCGACCACTTGTTAATGTGGAGACGGACATCTTCCTCTTGATCCAAAAATCCATCAACTGGGGGCGTATTCTCCACCGCTTCCCCCTCTTGACCATCTAAGTTGATACGACTCAGCCCGTCCCCCCGGTTCTTGTTTCCAGGGATCCGTTCTAACTTGAAGTTAAACATCCAGATGTACGTCAGCCACCTGACAACTGACGGATCCGATAGAACGTTATTCCTTAGTGAGCAAGTCAGGGCAGTTGGGTCCACTCTGAATATAAATCTCATGCTGAAGATGTAGTTTCGAAAGATTCGCAGACAGTGGAGGACGGCAAGGGTCTCCCTCTTGAACTGAGAGTAATTCCTCTCGGTCGTACAGAGAGTCCGACTCTCAAATCTCAAAGGCCTTTCCTTTCCCTCCGTGTCTGCCTGGATTAAAACCCCACCTAAGGCAGTTGGTCCCGCGTCCGTTTCAACAATGAAGGGTCTCGTTTCCATGGCGTCATAGTCTGGCGCCCCCAACACCAAACCCCCTTCCCGGAACTCTTCCTTCATTCTGGCCACCACCTCTTTCTGCTCTTCGCCCCAAACCCACTGCTGATCCTAACAAACTAACTTTCTCAGGTTCTCAGTCTTAGGAACAAAGTTATTGACGAAGGTCCTCTAAAATCCGCATGTCTCAAGGAAGCTCCGAACAACAGTTATTGAGTGGAATGGAACTGGCCACTCAGTAATCTTGTCCGTCTTCTTTATATCCGGTCGTCGACCCTTCTCACTGCAGACGAACCCCAAGATAGTAGCTTCCCTCATGCAGTGTCTGGATTTGGCCCTACTTGCCGTGAGGTTATGCTGCTCGAGCAGGCTCAGGACTTTCTCGATGTCCTGGATATGCTTCTAGACAAAACGTCTTACCCCGGCAAGACCTCGTCACTCTCCTTCACTGCCGGCCCCTTCACTGCCAGATCATCGATATATGTCTGCGTGATATGAGGGCTGACTGACTGCATGGCTCGTATCATGGCCCGTTGGACCCATCGCTACTGATCGGTCTATCCTTACCGAGCCACACTAATGTGGATTAATCCTCGAGGCGTATGCATAGCTGTCACTGACATGTCTGGCGGATAGATTGGAAACTGGTCATATCCTGAGTAAAGGTCTATAAGTGAGATTATAGGCCTTCCAACACAGGATTCTGACAGCGCGTCCGCGTTGGACAACCTTCCCACATCCCGCACTTTCACCGCATTTAGTCTCTGCAGGTCTTGCTTCCACCGTTAGGTTTGATAAAACAAAACCACGGGGACGTGTACGGCCCACTCGAGTAATCGGCGACATGCGTCCGTATCTTGTCGTCGAGGTAATTCACCACCTTCTTTTCCTCGTGAGGATTAGGATATCGCGCCCCTCTTAGATTCCACGGTTCGTGCGGCACGGTATGGATGCGGATCATAGATATCTTGTCCACATCCACTCTGCCACGCTCCTCGTCGCTGAACTCATAGGCGCAACGCCTCTTCTTCATTAGCTCCACCATCAAGGCTCGTTCCTGAGGCAACAGGAAGTCGGACTCTAATATGATCAACTGCTCCTCGTTCCCTTCATTGATGCGGCATGGCCCTGCTGAGGCTTTCTCCTTCATCCGCCGTATCAACCCCCGCTCTCGTTCATAGTACACCTCCTCGTCCTCAGTAACGAGGACGGGGACTGGGCGGCACTTCTGATCTACCGTCTTGTACCGCCTTTGGGAACCCTGCTTGAGCCGCCCCCTAAAAAAGGCCGACTCACAGACTGCGCTTGCATCAGCGCCGGGTTCCTCCTACCATCCGGAAGACGATATATCAGCTTCAATCTCAGGGCATTCCAGGACCTGCTCCCTCAATACCTGGATGGCATCAGGATATGCCATCTCATGTGCGGCCACCATATCCATGGCCTTCCCCACGTCCGACAAGCTAAGGGAGAATGCTTCAATCCTCTCTTCCTCTTTTGTCTCCGCCCGGAGCCTCCGGCGCTCGCCCTCCGACTCTTCGATCGTGAAAGACCCTGGATTGGGCCGGTTCTTTATGCTCTTCGGCCCCGTATTCCTGCAGGTGATCACCTCATAATTCTCGCAGGCAGGGTCGCATAGGAGGAGGATCAAAGTCCCGTCATGCTTATTGAATATCACGGTTTCCGTCCTGCTAAAAAATGACCTCCCTAGGAGGATTCCGTGATCCACGTCTGGCATGACGAAGAAGCATGCCCTGCCCTTTACTTTCCCAACCTCGATGAACACATTCGAGGCTGTCCCACAAAACATGGCCCTGCAACTTGGCCCATGTAGAATGCCTCAGTCAGATCGGTCTATATCCAGTCCGAACCTGATGGCATCCGCCTCCCGGATGATATTCATGTCCGCCCCTGTGTCCACCATCGCTGTACACTTGAAGCCCTTCACTACCAAATCTAGTGTGCCGCAGGCCACACACTTCCAATCCATCTTCGTGCCCGACTCTGCCCACTCTGCCTCCTTGGGCAGGATCGTACCCAGATGGACGTTGGGCACCAGGCGCCGCGACAACCTCCCCTTGAATCCATCACGGAGCTTAGGGGCTGACGCCAAGATTTCCTTCAAGGTCATGAGGTCGTTATGCCCCTCTAACAACATGTCGATCACCTTCTCCATGTCAAACCCTTCTTCCAGCCGGACCGCGTATTTCTTCTTCTTAGGCGGCACATCGTGCAAGACCGGTTCGGCTTCTTCCCTGGCCTCTCTTTTCTTAGCCTTTTGTTCCGCCCTCTAATGCTCTTCTTGGCGCAGCCTTTCATCTTCTTCCTCCTCGTCATCATCCTCCACTTCCACTGCCTCTTTTCTTCTTCCCGGCTCAGGTTCTCTCTGGGGAGGTTCTTGGCTAGCACTGGTCTTGGCCTGACTTCGCGTTCGCGCTGCCTGTGTTAGTCGGGCCTGCGGGGTGAGGGGTTCCGCCATCATCCCTGATCGTGGGCCCGACCCCACTACATTTACCCCAGGTCGCCCGGGCGCTCATTCCGGACCGGAGTCATAAAGGAACACCTTGGGGAGGTTAGACCTCCATTCCCTTGTTCCCTCATTGAGGTCCATTAACTTTTGTTGGTACCTGCCTATTTTGCTCAACAGGTCTTCCATCTACCCTAGCAAGACGGACGGAGGCTCCATCTTTTCTTCCTCGTTCTCATCGTCTGATTCGACGATTATGGACTCTTCCCTTTTACCTCCTCTTCGTAGCCCCTGAGTTACATCCTCATGACTCCCTACTTCCTCAACCCCAATTGGTGGTCCTTCCTTCTCCTGCCATAACCTGAACGTGGCAGGGGGTGGCGGTCCGGCGGCCGCTCTCCGTTGGGCCTCCGTCCTCACTCCGCCAAGCCTCCTGTCAATATAATCTCCAAACTGGTCATAAATGTTTCCATCCATGGTGGAGGAAATCAACCCGCTCTTCTCATCCTCCCTTCTTATGTTGCAAAACCTAATAGTGTGGCCTTGCTGGTCGCAATGTTGGCAGATAGCCGTCTTCCAGTTAAAGCGGGTCTTTCAATACCCCTGACCTCCTTGATCCCCCTGACCTTGGTTCCCCTGGCCTTGTCCTCCATTGTCCTCCTCGACCGCCGCCATTCCTGCCTCGCCCCCTTCCACCACCCCTTCCTCCATTGCCTTGATTGCCCTGACCCTGGTTCCCACCTCCAGCCACGCTCCCTTGCAAACTAGGAGCGGGCGATGGTGGCGGGGCCATAGGTTGGGCCTGGGCTGCAAGATAGATAGGGGGCGGCATACTCGTCTGTGGCCCAGCGTAGGGTACTACCTGTCCAGAGGGTGCCGGCCCTCCTCAAGGTACATAGGTGTTGATCACGGGTCATGGCCACTGTCCGAAAGGTGGTACTAGCGCCTGCGAAGGACCTGCACTACTCGAAGGTGTCGACGCACTCGGGGAGGCAGCTACCACCGCTTGGGGCATCTGGCCCTTTCCCGAACCTTGCCCCCCTTGCGTCAACTTGCACTGCTTACGCTGCACTTTCGAGAGGTGCGGAGGCATCGCCTCCTCTTCGTCCCACCCTTCCGGGGCAGCCTCCTCTATCACGGCCTCTTTGGCCTTTCCCTGTATTGCCGCTGCCACCTTTCTCTGTATCACCGGGTCTAATTCTGTTAGTATGTCGGTGATAATTTTCCTTACCCCTGGAGTCCCGGATGCCGTAGCATCCCTCTCCTTTCTCTTCTGTCTTTGCAGCCGTACCTGGTGCTGCTCCACCTGGTCTAGGTTCCCATCTTCCACCCCCTTGTCAATGGTGGCCCAGGTGAGCTTAGTACTTACTCCCTCCTCCACGACCTGTCAACTCATGGGCCTCCGACGCAGTAAGTAGTCCCAGAAAGATGGCACACTGTGTCTCCTCAGAGATCCTGTGGACCTTCCTTGCCCTCTTCTTAAATTCTTGTACGAAGGCCCCTATCGTAGTGAAGTTATCCTTGTTCATTGCTTCCAGGTCCCCCGTGGTTAGTAGGTCATCGCCCAGCCTGTACTTCCTTTGCATTCCCTCCCTGAACCTGGCCCAATCGTCGTGGGCGTCGTTGACCACCCTCTGCACCTCTTGATTGTGCCCATAAAGCACATATCTCATGATCCGCTGGAACTTCACTGCATCCGATAGCCCCATCATTGCTTGTTCTACCCGATCCAGCCAGTTTGAGACTCTTTCTCCATCGAAGTGAAAGGTGTCAACCTTAGGGACATTGCTGGGAGTCCTCTCATGCCGGTCAATGGTCGCAATAAGGTCCTCGAGCGTCAGGACCTTCCCGGTACCATCTGATATACCACCGCTCTCCGACATCTTGACAGACCTTTCTCTTCAAGCTCCCTGTTAGAAGAAACCAAGGACACTCACCTATTCAGCATCCTATCTCAAAAGGGGTCTATCCTGTATTCCCTCTCTAACTTCCTCATATACGTATCTGACACAGATTCGGCCGTCCTTCATAGCTTTCCTGACCCAGGTAGATAGGCAGGACGGACACTCAACGTCACTAAGCCTTCCTCACCTATACTTAGTCACTCATTATTTTTCCTTATTCTCTCGGCAACGGCGCCACCTGTCGAGCGCATCGGTCCGGCACCGCACCAGGGCAGTGCGGTGTCGTACCAAATACCCTTACAAGGGTATTTGGCGTACTTCTCGCAAGTCACACCGGTACGGCCTCACCCGGAGTTGACAACGTATTTGTGGGTAAGAGTTGAGTCCTGGCGAGATGAGAGGCGTGTGATGTGCGTCGACGGAAGGATGCAGCCCTGTGCGGCCGGGGTGTGCACGACGTTGTAGGCCAGAGGGACTCGCGACCCCCCGTCCCCTTTAATTTCTTGTGTTCCCCCGCTTTTATTTTTTTATGCAGTCGTATTTCTATTATTATTATTATTCCTATTTTTATTTTGTGCCTTTGACCTAGAGATCGACTCCGAGACCGGCGTCAGAACCGATGGACCTGGCTCACTTGCTATGTCGTCGGACACAGACGGTCGTCGCAGCGGTCGAAGACCTTGAACATGTCATTTTTATCTTAGCGGGTCATTCATAATTTTTCTGCATATTCAGGATACTCGCGGGACTTCTCTACAACGGGGAATGAATGAAACCCCCACGGGTGGCCGACAAGGCAGTCGAGGACCTTGGGTGACCGCGCTTGGGGATGGTCCACGACGCGGGAGAAAGTTGCGTAACGGGGGCCGCTGCGGGTCCAGCGTCCGCCAACCACGACATGTCGTGAGAGGTTTGTGTGTGAGCATGGCTGCTGGGACAGGGAAGATGGTGAACTATGTCTGGGCGGGGCCACCGGTGGGAGGCTGCCACAGTTTTAAATGTGCGGCCGGACTGTCCCAACAACTGTTCCCATGGGACATGTCCCCACTCTGCCCCAAAGTTCACATTTGAATATTTGCTACTACTACCAAGATGCACCAGGACAACCTCACCTAGGCCCACGCTGCAGGCTTCACAGCAAGCCCTCGCCCTCCTACTCGAAGAGCTGATTGATTCGGCCGGTGAGTTGTTACGCACACGCTAGTGGGCGTTGACTTCCATGACCACAGTCCTGTTGTATGTATCAATAGACACCCCTTTGTGGTGTCTGGAGTGTGCAGTTTGACACTGGCCGGGGTCGGAGGCGCCGAGGGGTAGGCTCGCAGCGATAAGATATCGCAAGCGTAGGACCGCAGTGTGACTGTGCCTGTGCAAGGCACGCCAGGGTTGCCGTGAAATAGAGATAGCGGGCGAGGCCGACATCGGAGAAGAGGGAGTGACGGGCGCTGAAGTGAAATAGAGATAGCGGGCGAGGCCGACAGGAGAGCGGATGGGCATACTGGGTAGCACCAGATGCTGTCGGGCTAAGGAAGAAAAGAGGGAAATGAACCCGGACGCGGAGCAGCGCCGGGTGCATGCAAACGAAGGCGGAGATGGCATAGGCGGAGGGAAGGTTGGGCGCAGCCTGATTTGAGCAAGGTGCTCGATCCTTAATGGAATCGAAGAAGGTAAGATGTGAGGTAGGGGTTTTAGAGGCAGGCGAATCTAATGGCGCRGTCRKATTTCRCRGCGGGGGAGCAAGTTAGTCRAGGTATGSARATGTGGTRSRCGGAGGATGGAGATGGTGGATATKGCGGAGAGAACAAACRGGCAGCGTGCTCGAACTAGGATGGAATCAGGTGGAAAGAGGGTCGATTCCAGAGTTTGTGAGGCTGGCGATTGCAGATCCATCATTAGAGTTAGTAATGGGTCAGTAGATCTAGAGTTAGATAAAGAAGAGGGTGCGTGAAGGTATGGCGGGAGTAGCAGGAAGGGAGAGTGGGAAATGCGTATCTCCCTCGTTTCCGAACAGAATCGGGCGAGGGAGGGCACGGGTCGGGGGTTTTGGAGTAAGGCGAAGTCAATGGCGATGCTAGATTGTCGATTCGGGTGCCGGTCTGGCCGACATGTGTAACGGAGGCTGTGCCTAGGAAAATAGCAATGTATCTAGCCGCTTTCTGACGAAAGATCCATTGCGAGTTCGCTCACCTTACCAGAGAAAGCGAGAAGAGAGAACGGGAGGAAAATAAGAGTAGGAGGGTACCTGGTCAGAGGTGAGCGGAGTGGCAGGATGCAAGGCCGTATGTGTTCCGATATTCTAGCGGGGGGTTCCACCCTCCCCCCCATAGTCAGAGGGTAGTAGAACAGTGCATACGGTCGAAGCTTGTTCACCTAAATATCTTGGAGCTCATATCTTTTTGGGAGTAATGTCGCTCGTGATTGTGTTTTCCAACGATTACGAACTACCCCTCATCGGCCATATTTCCTTTAATCTGGCCGAGTCAACGGCCAGATACGTTCTTACGTTGACTAAAGAGAAAAAGGGAGGAAAATAGGTGGATGCGGGACACGTACCGGCTCTGGGTAAAACTCTGCCTGGGCGAATCTGCATGAAGGAACATACCATCGGGTAGTGCACTACTACTAGAATGTTGTAGCTGCGGGTGCCTCTCACGCCCGACCGTACTCATAACCGCATCAGGTCTCCTAGGTGAGCAGCCTCTGTACCGTGGTGTCCAGCGCGCCCCCGACGGCCCTTGAAAATTTGGAGGCACGTTGCTGATTGCGGGTTCTTTTGACTGTGCACAAACTACTACAAGCTGCTCTGGGGCGTCACTTTTGGCGAAGTGTTACTTGTATTGCTGCATGAGATAGCACGGAGGAGTGTTCAGCCTGTTGGACGGAGGAGCCTGCCTGTTAACCGCTGCGTAGTGATGCCGGCTGCTGCCCACAGCTGCGTATTACGGGCAGGCTGTGAGTGAAGGTTGCCGCCGTGCACTGCTGTGGGCGACGGGTCCGAAACCTGCGGATGGCGTGTAGCTGGGCACAACTGCTGCTGCTGAGTGATTGGGTATGGACTACCGCTACAGGTTGCGTTTGATTGCACACAATCTGCTCTTGTTGTTGGTGACTGCTGCTAACCGCCACCGAGTGCTGCTGCTGTATCTAAGAGCTGATTCAGGCCGTTGTGCAGCCACGACGGGGCTGAGAAGAGGAGTTGAGACTTAGGGAAGGTGATCAGACCAGGCAACGAGGGGAGTTAGTGCTGCAAATTAGGAGATCGTCAGGGGGTTGAGTTCGGCGATCAAGATCAGCAGTTGACTCCAATTCGATCAAGCTGTTACGTTGGCTGCCATTGCGGGGCCCTCATGCGTATGAAGATATCAAGACCCTCTCCAGGGAGTTGAGTCGTCCCCCTCATGTACCTCGAGCGTCTGAAACCTCTCATCTTCTGTCCTTCTTACTCTCAAACTAGTCCTGTGACGAGAGGAAGGTGGCCGGCGGGATTGCAACCCGAAGGTCCGCAGCAAGGCTATGTGGGGAGTCAGCCCACCGATTGCGGGAGCTCTTCTGAAACTCAGGAGGAGATCTGGAGGCAGGGAACTGAAAAGTAACTTTCAATTCTCTTCTATAAACCCAGTCATAGCCCAGTATTTGTACTCCTGGGTACATGGTACGCAACCCTGCTTTGACTTGTTATTTGACTTCCAGGACATGAATTAGATAAAGTAAAAGCAGGCATGCAAATCCTCAGTTTCAATTTTTATGGATTGATTGAAAGCAGATTGCAAAAAGAGATTGCATCTGGGAAAGGGCAGGATGGGAGGCAGTATTGCGTTAAAGTTTGACTGGGTCATTAAGGATGGGAGGTCCCCATAAGTTTGGGGAGACCCAGTGTAGAGTTTATTTTTGAATTGCTTTTAGGACCAGACCATTCTACAAGTTTAGGCGGTCTGGTTGCTCTGATTTGGGAAGGCTGAATGTGGTTGACTTTTCAGGAACCAAGCGCGTGCTGTAAGTTCAGATGCCGTGGTCGCCTTGATTATTTTGGATTTTCCTTCGGTTTATTTAGTTCTGAACGAGGAGGTCTGAGTTGTTCTATAAGTTTAGGTGGCTTAACCTCTTCCTGCATTTTTTCTGAAGAAGTAATCTTTGGCAAAGGGCAAACCCTTCTGTAAGTTCAGGGGGTCTGACTCAATGCCATGCACATGGTGATTCAGAGAGAAATGAAATTGGCAGAGAGTTAGATCCTTCTGTAAGTTCGGGGGGTCTGGCTCAAAGCCTCGCACATGCTGGAACCCCAATGATTATAACTTGGCTATAGTTTACTACTATTCTATTTAAGAACGAGCTAATGAGACTGTTCTATAAGTTTAGGTGGTCTGACTATAGCCTATCACAACTTGAAGAGAGTATAATGAAGAGTAAAATTGATGGCAACCTGGGGCAGGCTGAACTTAAGTTAGTTCAGTCATATGCAGCCTTAGAAAATAAAGGGAAAACATATATATATGTAACTTGGATATTTTAAACAGTTCAGGGCGACTAGAATGGTCTAGTCATATGCCCAAAGAAGAGAAAAGTTTTTGTGCCCTGTGTTTGTGTATACATTGGCTAAGTTGGGCTCATTCCATAAGTTTGGGTGTCCCAACCTTATGCCTTATGTAAGCTGGGTATAAAAGGGTAAATCATTGAAAGACCATGAACTATTGTCTGCCAAGTTGACTTGGGGATGGTGAGAGTACTCACCTTTGTGGTTTGGCCTGCATGCGACTGAGTGAGGCTACTACTTAGTCTGAGTTTCAGTTTGATAGGTAATTGTTTTAGTTGCTCGCCACGTGCTAGAGCTATAGGAGTTAGTTTTAATTCCTGCATTTTCTGAGCTAAGTTTTTTTTACTTAGATCAATTCTCGCATTTTCTGGGATGATGTTTTTTGTACTTGGCTTTGTATAAATCTTGGCAAGCTACCCTCTCTACGGGAAGCGCCGCCGAAATTGCTACAAATTCAAATTGTTAGTCAAATTTTGACTTGTCCGAGTTGAATTTGTCTTTTCTTTATCTGACGTAGTAAAAATCTGGAAAACCTCCTCTTCTAAAGGGAATGCTGTCCAAATTTTTGTTAATTCAGGGAGTTCGACAAAATTGGATTTTGAGAAGTCAAAGTTATTCTCAAATTCTAGACTTAGCCTTATATAAATTTTGGAATAGCACTTTTCTAGGGGGAGTGCTGGCGAAATTTTTGCAAAACTGAGGAGCTAATTAGATTTTGTCTAAGTTGAA